AAATTCCGAACCATGCAGCTGTGAAAGTCCCAGCGATGATCAAGAAAATCGTAAAGATGGATGTCAACGGTGCAATTTCAATGGAACACAAATATCTGATTCAAATGAAGATGATTTGATTTGTTTTAAATGCAAAAATGAATCATGTGAAAAATGTTTGCGAGAAGATAAATTTCGTGAGATTTATTCACAAACAGCGTCGTCGAGTGATGATAGTAAACGTACAATGAAAATTCGTCTCAATAATAAAACAATTGAATTTGATTCGGATGAAACTGGTGAAAGTGATCCAACGCAAGGTTTAGATGAAGAAATAATTGCCGAAAGATTGGAAACAATTGCCGAGGCTAAAGGCGATACGGCTAGTGAAAATGGCGAGGATGAAAATCCCCGTAAATTAAATGGTTCATCCTCGCAGGCCAAATTTCTCAATTATATGATCGTCATCTTTTTGTAAATAATAGTTCAAATAAGGATCAAGAGACGATCGAAATTTTGCTTTATAAAGATCCAAGAAAAAAAAAAAAAAATAGATAGCTTTATTTTTCCCAAGAAAAATTTTGCAGATACAAGGTTCCATCGTGCCTCATTCAAAGGAGGATCGATTGTTCATAAAAAAGACAAAAAAAAAAAAAAAAAAAAAATGAATCGCACTGTACATAAACTGCCGAAGATTTAGAATTTTGCACTTTGTGTCGCTGAAGGTATTTATAAAAAAAAAGAAATTTTTTTATTTAAATTACAGACCTGGTATAGAAGAGTTGGTGTTTGCCATAAATGTGAGATCGTTTAAAATAGACGAAACTCACGTTCGGGACCAACTAAAAGCCCACCGTTCAACATCATTGCTTCCAACTTTTCATTATATAGAATTCCAAATTTCATGGATTTAAAAATCTAATCCAAATCTTGTCGTAATAAAATTATTTTTATTACGAGTATTTGAGAATTCTATTTTTCATCAGGCTCTGTTTAATTCGCTCATCATTGGCAAAAAAAAAAAATTTATTAGTTTTCTTTTCCAATAAAATTCTTTAAATTAAACAAAAAATGTAGATAAGATTTAAAAAAGAATTCAGTGCTTTTTTTTAAATTATTACAAATGTCAATTGAAAAATAAAAGAATTAATCTCATTTTTTTTTTTGCCAAAGATTCGAGCTAAAAATCTTAAACGAAATGAAATAACATTTCTCCCTTGCCGAAAAAAAAATTTGTACTCATGTTCCTCACATATTTCCGAATTTCCGAATCTTGTACACTTGGCTTTAAGTCGTGTAGCTATAATTTTTTATTAAGAAAAAAAAATACCATGAAATGAAAAAAATGTTAGAGAATTACAATTCTAGAGAGATAAATTTAGAAATCATTTCAAATTTGTACAACTATGTTTTTGTAGTTTCTATAGAAAAAAGCGACTACAATATTCATATACAAATTACTATAAAAAAAAAAAAATATCACAAAATTGAGAAACTAGTTTCGAAAAGAAAACGTAACTACTTCAAAGTAGATCTTTCGTCATATTTAAATCAAATCCAATATCACTGAAAAAAAAGGAACTTTATTACAGAAAAATAAATGATTAGTATCATTTTTGTCTCTGAAACTTTTTCCTATTCGCTTTTTATTATTATAACTTTCGAGTATTTCCCGTGAGATTTTCCTTATGGATTTTCAAGCGTTCATAAGCTTTCTCAAACATCGAACACAACCCTTGGGAATCTCAACAAAATTGGAAATTTTTTTCTAAATAAAAAGAAAAAAAAAACTACTTTAAAGTAGTTACGTTGAAAAAAAATGCTGTTTTACTGCCATATTTAATAATATTGTTTTTCAAAAAAAGAAAAAAAATTCCCCCTTAAATATATCAAATTTAGCTAGTGTTGTTTCAATTTGAAAATTTTTGTTTAAAAATAATATAAATAACCCTCTTGATAAAAACCAATAATATGTTCATTATTATCAGAGGATAAATTATCACCTGCAAAGCTTGCACATTTTGTAACTCGATATTAGTATAAATATCCCGTTGTTATTTCCCACGACTGTTCCAAGACATAATTAGCGACGATTATTGAAAAAAAAAAAAAAAAGTGAAACATATAGAAACGAATATAAGAAAATGAGTGAATGATTAAAAAAATAAATTTTAATAACTCGCTAGCATTTATTAAATCGTCACTCTCAGTAGATTTATTATTAAGAAAAAAAAGTAATTAATAAAAAAAAATTCGTAAATTTGCACGGGGACGAGAAAAAACAAAAAACTTTGATCAGCCTTATGTAGATTTAAATTATTAATCAGTGATCAATCATGGTTGTGTATTTTAATCTCTCTTTCTCTCTCTCTCACAATCTCTATCTCTCTTTCTCTGCGTGAGAATTAATTCCAATCATATACAAGTGAGAATATAATTTTCTGTTCCATTTTTTAATTAGATTAAATATAATTAATATTGTAATTTTAATTATTTTCAGAAAAATAATTTTTTTTTGAGTGGTTATATAAAATATACCGCTTTTTTTTTTGCTCTCACTTGTATATGTTCATGTTTTTTAAAATTTCTTACATACAATTATAAAAAGCACTAAAACGTAACAGCAGTTGAAAAAAAAATTCATAATTCTTATCGCTCTTAATATTTCAGCGATATATCAGTGTCTTATGAAAAAAAATCGTTTTAGAAAAAAAAAAATTCAATACGACTCAACGAATTTTAATGTTGCTTTATTAATTCTTTAATAAAAATAAGTGAAAAAAAAAAATCATATTTGTTTTAAGTCTTATAAGTAATTCGTTTTCAAAGTATATATGTCATTAATTTTATTGAAATGTTTATTAGCGTTATAAAAAAAAAAAAAAAAAAAAAAAAAAATTATGTATAAAGACTACAATATTATTAAATCGTTGTATTAAATTAATTTGTAAATAATCCTACGACTCGCCTTTGCACATTTTTTAATCGCGAGACCAAAGTTTACACCTCTAATTTTTTAAAACTAAATTTTACAAATTTTTAAATATGTTTTTTTGAAAAAGTTAAATAAATTTTATTTCAAATTTGAATTAAAATTTCATTTAGAAAATGTAACATAATAAAGTAAATTAACACTTATCAATTAAAAATTTATATTCCGAGTCGTATGATTATTATACTAAACATATTATAATATTTAAATATATTTGGTGCCAAAACTTCGTTGCTAATGCGCAAAATAAATTATTCAAATTAATTTAAAACAAAAATTTATAAATTAAAACACGCAAATAATTAAGCCTTAAAATATTCTATCGGTGGCCAATTAATAATTTTCATATCCATTTACAAATCTTTAAAATATTTATAAAAAAAAAATTTTTTAATAATCCTATTGACATAAAATAAATCAAATCTTTTTTTTTTGTTCATATTCATTAATATTTGTTATATGTAGATATATATGTTTGTCAACTGCATATCATATCAACCAAAATTAAGAGTATAAACAATTTTAACATTTTAAACAAAATCAAATGAAATTTTCTTTTACATTTAATTTTTTGCAAAGTTTTTGCGAAAACTTTTTATATATTAAAATATTTGCTTATATAAATAAATGAATTAAATAAAAAAAAAGAAAAGAAGAACAAATTCTTTTAAATAAAACATGAAAGAAGAAAACAAGAATAAAAGGTGAATAAAAACTTTGGTCTCACGACGAGGCTCTTATTAAATGAATGGTCACTCAGGAATCAAGTTATAAATATAATAATAATAATATTAATAATAAAAATAAAAATAATAATAAACAATTTGAGATAAATATAAACACTTAGAAAAAACGATCTTTTGTAAATACGATTGATAATATATAGATATAAATAAAAAAAAAAAAAAAATCTGTAATATAAATTTAAATAAATTTGCGATCGAACTCGGAAGAATTTGAAAAGAATGAGAATGAAAGAGGCACACACGAAAAAGTGACTAAATATGAGAGAGTTAGAACAAAAAAAAAATGTATGAAAAAAAATCTCATGAAAATGTTATTTCATGCAAGACCAATCATCATTCTTTATAGCAAAAACAAAAAAAAAAAAACAACGATAAAAGTTGGCGCACATGTGCGTATATCTGTGCGTGTCACGAAATAAAGATTATTAACATTACTTATAAATCTTACTATTAAAGAAACATTTATTACCAAAACCCCTGTTTGTATTATTTTTTAATATTAATTAATAAATATTAATATAATTTTATAATTTTTTAAATTGGAAAATTCCAATGATATATTACGAATTATAAATTGTAATTATAAATAATATTTCAGTTATTTTATTAAAGAATTAAATGAAATAAAATATTTTTTAAATTAATGTAATTTAAATAGAAAATAATTATTTATAGAAAATTTAAATGATTTAAATATTATTAAATTTTTATAACCTATAAAACATATGACATATAGCAAAACAACGTGGACAATAAATGATATTTATATTAATTAAAGTTAAAAATTCAATAGTTCTAAATGAATAAAAATTAAAAAATTACCAATTCGAATAAAAATCCATAAGAACAAGTTCAATTACTTTAAAAATTAAAAAATTTAAATAACAAAAGAAACATAACCTTAAAGAGTGCAGAAGTCTTTTTTTTAAATTTTATTTTACAATCGGGGTGCAAAGAATTTGTGCATCCGCTCCTATTGAAATTCCCACTACAAATACATTTTTTCAATGCACACATTCAAATTATTCCCTATATATATACAAAACCCGGCACGCCTGTGTACTACGTAATTTTAATCTCGAACCCAAAATACCTGTCTTATTCTTTGTACTCCCCTCAGGCAATAAACAAAAAAAAATAACAAATTATTTTAAATAAGAATTTTTTAATATGAAAATTTCTTTAAAATTATTAATTTTTTTAATGTAAATTTATTGCAATTTGTGAAATAAAAAAAAAATATTCATATTTACCGGTAGGAAGATAGTGATCAATATTATGATGTCGCTGGTATCGAGACTTCCGCCATGAAGTCTTATGCGCATGTCACACCGTCCGGAAGATCTCTTTCTGTCGTGGCATCTGGAGGTGAGTGGTTGTGCGTGTTATTCACGGAACATATTTTTTAATCCAAAAATTTATTGTTCAAGTTTTAAGCATCCATTGTCAGGTAGAAAAAATATTATTTCGCGATAAATTACATTTAATGTGTGTGTTTAAAGTTTTTGTGAGTTTTTCATTATTTTTCCGTTGTTGAAACTTTAATCTCCGTTCCTTTTTTTTTTCTTGGGGAAAAATTAACGCATGGTCGAATTTATACCTCGCCGGCTGCACCGCATGCAATAGAAAAAAAAATAACTTTGCAAAAAGCAAGGATTTTTCAAAGTATTGTACTTGGTGTGTTTAAAAAAAGTTTTCGTGAATTGTCGGTAAAATGTAAGAAAAAAAGAAATGAAATTGGAGGTTCCCTGTTTCTTCTTGAAAACCGTTAGGAAAGTTAATATCACCAGATGCATAATGGCGGTCGTTTGTCAGAATTTCGTTTGGCTTTCGTCATATATGTTTCATCTCGTGTGGATTCTGTGATATTTTGTGATTAAAAAAAAAAATCAGTGGTTCTTTCGAGTTACTGTTTGTTTTTTCTATTTTCCACTTTGGAAAGAAAAAAAAAGTTCTAATGTAACTGAATTTTTTTTGGTAGTATCTTAAAATTTGTTTCCAAGTGTCATTTTTTCATCTCCTTTTAAAATGAAAGGAAAAAATTCCATTGTCAATCCTTTAATTTCTTTCAGGAAAAACAAATTTTCTTTAATTCATTTATTTGCCACGTTGTGCCAAAATTAGCTTCCTGTGTGATTTTTTTTTTAAATTCTAACCTCACTTTTTCAGTTTAATTTGTTTAAAAAGAAAAAAAAGTTTCATTGTTATTCTATTTTTATTATTTTTAATTGTAATTTGGGAAAAATTTCGAAACTAGCAACAAGTTTATCGGTAACATCTGCTTGGAATAAATTTTTTTTTACTCCCCGGTGAAAGTCGAGAAATTTCTATTATTTTTTTTAAAAAAGAAAATAATTTTTAAAACGTGGAAAAAAGACCTATGGTAAAAATTCTCACGGGGGGAAAAAAAAGTTAGTCTTTCCTCGATGATTAATATTTTGCAAAATCATTTTTCCCGGTGATTCATTATTAGGAAACGTGATATTGGGCGATGCTGAGCGTCTTGGTGCATCAAGTGCGGCTCCTACAAAATGGCCGACATTGCCGTTCTCTCTCACTTTGATCGAATATCCGCCACGTGGACATGAGACAAAGGAAGTTACGCGATCGTTTCTCAAACAATTTGCATTATTTTTTTTATTATTTTTCCATAGTTAGTCGAAAAGGGGGACATAACCTAAAATTTCAATTTTATGCTTAACCTTGAACTTTAAATTTTTTTTAAATTAACACGATGATGATAAAAAATATTTCTTCATTCGCGGTTTCCACCGGAGGATTTAATGTCCATTGACGGTTTGAAGTGTCTGAGTGTTAATTTAATAATTGAATGAAAAAAATTATATTTTGTAAATTATTTTTAAAAATGAAATTTTTGTTTTTCAGTATTTTTTTTGACCAGACTATAACTAAACTCTAACCATGGGAAAAGAAAAGATTCATATTAACATTGTCGTCATTGGACACGTCGACTCTGGCAAGTCCACGACGACTGGACATTTGATCTACAAATGCGGTGGTATCGACAAACGTACCATTGAGAAATTCGAGAAGGAAGCCCAGGAGGTAATTATTTTTTTAATTTAAAAAAAAAATGATTTAAAAAAAGAAACTTTACATGATGATAAAAAAATATTCTTCATTCGCGGTTTCCACCGGAGGATTTTTAATCCTGTGACGGTTTGAAGTGTCTGACAAAGGAAAAAAAAAAAAAATTTCCTTTGTTTTTTGAGAAGGAACGATTTTAATTTTGATAATTTACAGATGGGAAAAGGTTCCTTCAAGTACGCATGGGTTTTGGATAAATTGAAAGCAGAGCGTGAACGTGGTATCACCATTGACATTGCTTTGTGGAAATTTGAGACAACCAAATATTATGTGACCATTATTGATGCTCCTGGACATAGAGATTTCATTAAAAACATGATTACGGGAACATCGCAAGCTGACTGCGCGGTATTAATTGTCGCTGCTGGTACTGGTGAATTCGAAGCTGGTATTTCGAAGAATGGACAAACACGAGAGCATGCATTACTTGCATTTACTCTTGGTGTGAAACAATTAATTGTCGGTGTTAATAAAATGGATTCGACTGAGCCGCCATACTCGGAAAATCGTTTTGAGGAAATCAAGAAGGAAGTTTCATCTTATATTAAGAAAATTGGTTATAATCCAGCCGCCGTTGCCTTTGTTCCAATTTCGGGATGGCATGGTGACAATATGTTGGAACCATCAACAAAAATGCCATGGTTCAAGGGATGGAATGTTGAACGTAAAGAAGGAAAGAATGAAGGTACATGCTTGATTGAAGCGCTTGATGCTATTTTACCACCTAGCAGACCTACCGACAAGGCTCTTCGTCTTCCCCTCCAGGTACTTTCATTTTTGAAATTAATAATTTTTAAAAATATTTTTTAAAAATATTTTTTAAAAATTAAACCTACTAATGAATTTCTTTTTTTTAAGGACGTCTACAAGATTGGTGGTATTGGAACAGTACCAGTTGGTCGAGTGGAGACTGGTATCTTAAAACCCGGTATGGTTGTTACCTTTGCACCAGCTGGTTTGACCACTGAAGTTAAATCCGTTGAAATGCATCACGAAGCACTCGTCGAGGCTGTTCCCGGTGACAATGTTGGTTTCAACGTAAAGAACGTTTCCGTCAAGGAACTCCGTCGAGGTTACGTTGCCGGTGACTCCAAGAACAATCCACCCAAGGGCGCTGCTGATTTCACTGCACAAGTAATTATCTCCCCCTCTCTCTCTCTAATTTTGAAAATAAAATTTTTGCACTAAAATGATGAAAGAATTTTTAAATTCATTCGCGGTTTCCACCGGAGATTTTTCGCTGACGGTTGAATGCGTCTGAAATTTTGCAATTTCAAAAAAAAAAAAAAAATCATTTTTCTGTATCTAAAATAATTTTCTCCTTCAACAGGTTATTGTATTGAATCATCCTGGACAAATTAGCAATGGATATACGCCAGTATTGGATTGTCATACAGCTCACATTGCTTGCAAATTCTTTGAAATTAAAGAGAAATGCGACAGACGTACCGGCAAAACAACTGAGGAAAATCCAAAGGCAATTAAATCGGGAGATGCAGCTATTGTTACACTTGTACCAAGTAAACCAATGTGCGTTGAGGCCTTCCAAGAATTCCCGCCATTGGGACGTTTCGCTGTCCGTGACATGCGTCAAACAGTTGCTGTTGGTGTCATTAAATCGGTGAATTTCAAAGATGCATCTGGCAAAGTAACAAAGGCTGCCGAAAAAGCCCAAAAGAAAAAATAACTACTTATCGCGCCAAGGACATGCTCATAATAGTCAATGTAGTTTGTCTTCCAAGTTCATTGATAATTGATAAAAAATCAATGGACATTATCACAATTAAAAAGATCATTAAACAAGAAAATGAAGAAGAAAAGAAAAAGATTGTTTTACGCAATTGTGTAAGTAAACTTTTTAATTTCTTCATCATTAATCGAGAATTCCGTCTTTCTAAAAGATTATTAAGACATTATTTCCATCGTAAAGAATTTCGTAGGAAAGACGAATGAAAATATCAGTACGCTGGGAAGGCAGACTATTAGACTATTCAATTTTTTTTTTCCATCTTGTCTCGCTAAAAAAAAAAAAACAAAGTTAACATCAGCGAATATAAAAATTAGCGCGATTTTAATTATATTTTCTAATAATTATTATATGAAAATAAAAATCTTATATCTGCGATACTCGAAGCATCTCATTTTTTTTCTTTATTATCGTTATCGTTGTCATTGCTTTTTATATATATATATATATATATAATATTAAATCCTTATAATAGTGGGGAAAAAAAAGTCTGATTTTTCTTTGAACAATTTAACTAAGACTGCTATTTTAAGAACATTTTTTTTTTTTTTTTAAATAATAGTTTCTTTTTTCTCGAATTTTTTATAAATGAGAATTAAAAATCCTGGTCTCTTTGAAATATATTTGTTATCCAGTCGACATCAAGCCGAAAGTATAATCAATAGGTATAAAGAATACATCTGGAATTTATTGATAACCGGTTTGATTAACAATATATATTGTAAATATAACTATAACAACGATTGAACGCGAATAAAGAAGCTTGAAAATGATAATTTTTTGAATCTATTATTTAACGGTGGGCGACTGGAAATTCTTTTTTATAAATTGAAAAATTAATAACTTATATCTTGAAAATTTATTCCTAAAAAGTTTTTAATTAAATTTATTTTACAGTGTTTATTTAAAATCGTTATTTTTCACTTAATATTTATTTTAATAATTGAAATTTGAATTTTGTATCATGGCGCGAAATTCAAATATTCGCGCCTAATTTCTATTGGTTGAGAAAAACATATGTCTCAGTGTTGATTCAACCAATGAACGAGCTTAATTTTTTTGCAATTGCGCAGTTACAATCTTCCATTTTTTTTATTTCTGTAGACCCACGTTTTTTTTGTTGAAAGTACAAATTAATATAATATTTAATATTTTCATGTTTATTTAAAGAAAAAATATGTAATTAGAACTGTTAAAGGTAAGTCTAAAATATTATTTATAAAATATAATGCTTTATGCGATAATTTAACGTCCCAAGTGCTTGCTATTTAAAACCTAACCTATAAACTTTTCAACTTTAAATTAAAATGTTTTTAACTTCTTGTTATTAAAATAATTGTTTATAAGAAAGTAAAACACATAAATACAAATATTTATTTAAATCTTATGTGTATTTATGAATATTATTTAATTTAAGGTCCACGTGTTTGTGGGATTTAAAACCTAACCTAAGTTGTCAATTTTAAATGTTTTGTTTTCAATCTTTGAATCTTTTCAAAAATAATAATTTATTAGAATCATATTAATTTTTACAAATAATAAGTATTATTTATTTTTTATTATGCAAATTTTATATCAATTATTTAATTTATTAAATATTATTGATTTTAATAAAATTGACTAATTTGAAAAATTAAATAACTTAATAATAAAGTAAATATTTTATTTAATAACATTTTTATGAACTCAAATTAATAATAAAATTTTAATTATACAAATTCATTAACAAATAATTTAATATGTTTTATTAAATTTTTTAAAGAAATTTAAATTCTATTTATTCATTAATTGAAAGGAAAAAAGTAAATCTTTAAAATATTTTGTGCAGGTGTAAATTATTCATCGAGTGTTGAAAACATTAAAAAAAAAAAATGGATTTGGTAAAAGTGCTAGAAGTTTTAATGAATCCAAACATAAGTATGATATTTTTATTTTATAAAGAGTGAACCTATAATTATTTACCTAGTTAAAATTCTTATCTAATATTTTTAGAAAATGACAATTCCGATGAAGAATGTTGTTTAGAGGCAATAATAAAAAAGGCAAATTTCCATTTGTCAGAAGAAATTAGAAATGAAATAAAAAACATAAATTCGGAAAATAGTTTAATGTAAGTCTTTTTTTTTAAGTTTAATTATTTTTTAATTATAAAAGAAAAATCATGTTAGATAAAATGTAAAATTATTTTTTTCAATTTCAGTAAACAGTATTTGTATATTATTCTATTTGTTTTGAGAGAATTAGAAAAAATGGATTTAGGAACAGAAGAAAATATGCTCAGTGTTAGTCAATATCAAATTATTAAAAAAGCCATTGGTTTTGCAACATCAATTGGTATAATTTCATGTTTATTACCAGGAATTCAAATGGAAAATTCACCTGTAACTCAATCACGATTTAGCCAAGAAAATTTGTCAATTATGCAGGTATTTAATCGACTTTATTTTAATTTAAGTTACCAATACCTAATTTTTTAATTTCAAAATTGTTTTCTCTCTTTCAGAAATACGAACGATTGTGTGATACGTCGAAAATATTTTTAAATTCTTTCTCTAATTTATGTTTACGTCCAGTATTACTTCCTTATCTTGGTTCATTGTTTGCGGCATTATTACAATTATCATTTGCACCATTAAAAAAGCCGAATTCTAATGCAGAAACTAATATTGAATTTAAAATGACAAATGAATTATATTTACAATTAAAAAGTGAACAAATTGAATTTCAATCAAAATTGAAAAAATTAATTAATCTATGTCCTCAAAGTGAAGTTATTAAAGAATTCATGATTTTACATGGTGCAAAAAAATCACCAAAATGGTTATGTGATAATGTTAAAAATTTATTAATTGAATCAATTATTCAACCATATGGAGTTATGTCATTGATAGAAGCAATTTGTGAAGATACAAATGAATCTGGTAATTGGCAAAAATTAGATATTGTTGCTAAATTAATATCCGTTTCACATGGCGATAATCATGAAGAATATTACAACTCTATTTGTTCTCAGGTAAAAAAAAAATTATACTTTTTTTTTTGAATATAAAAATTTAATTAAAATTATTTTTTAAATTACACTTTTAGTTATTAGATATTTTAATGGCAAAAAATTTAAAATACGGACCAACAATTGCAAATTCTTGTATGACAGCAATTTATGAAGTGAATCCAGATATTTGTCGAAGAAAAATATTTAATATAATAGCAGAGCCATTTTTATTAATAAATTCTGATAATAATTCTATGATTTTAAAAACTGAAGAAGAAATATCAAATTCAATAGAAACACTATCAAAATGTTTTTTGAGCAATGAGGCAGATTTTAAAACACTACCAATTGAATTAATTTACAAAATTGCTGTTCCTTTATTTTATTTACATTTAAAAGCATCACAAAGTATTTATCAACATCGTGAAAAAATTCGACAATTATTATTGAAAATACTCGCAAATGAATTAATGAGAGAAATGATATTTGCGTCATTTCTTCAAATTTCCAATGATATTGAATTAGAAGAAAATTTTGGAAATAAATTATCATTTCAATTTGGTTCAACTGGTGGTTTTGAAATAGTGTCAAAAAATGTTGAATTAAATTATGAAGAAATTGTCAATATTCTCTTTGATCTTGTACAACATGATGAAATTCTCGCCAATTCTTTATTTAATTTTCTAATGAAGACATTGTCGAAATTTCAAGAAATTGAGAAAAATAATTTATTAGAAACAAATTGTGATTTAATTGAAAGAGTGACGAAACAATTGGCAATTGTACAACTTGTTTCGAATCTTGCGAATACGAAAAAAGTTCAAGAAGCACAGATTAAAATGCCAAAACCACTTTTATTGTTTATTGAAACAATTTGTAAAAACAAGAAAAATAATGATGATGATGCTGATAGTTTTGATATTTTGTATATTAGTTTAATGTTAGTGAAGATAATATTAACAGACAGAGGGAAACCACAGGATTGGAGGCCTTTTGATGAATTTAGTCAATTTTTGGAAAATGAAAAAAAATTCAATAAACTAACAGAACAGACTAAAAGTTTAATTAATGAAATTATTAATATTATTCGTTTGCGTTCATCTTCGCAAAAATTTTACGACATGTCAGTTGATCCTAATCGAAAAAGTGAATTTGACAAGGCTTTGGAAGATTTAACAGATCCACTACTTCCGGTACGTGGTCATGGAATTATTGCATTGACAAGATTAATTGAAACATCAAATCCCGATGCAATTGCTAAACAAGATGTTCTTATTTATTTATTTCAGGTAAGTTTATCAACATTATTTTTTAATTTATAATAATAATAATTATAAATAATTTTTTTCTTCAGGAAAATCTCAAACATGAAGATTCGTTTATCTATTTAGCGACAATTAATGGAGTTTGTGCTCTTGCAACACATTTTCCACAAAAAGTCATTGAGATTCTTGTTCAGGAATTTATTGACATGCCACAAAGAACAAGTACTGGTGAAATTGCACCAGAAACAAGGGCAAAACTTGGAGAAATATTAATGAAAACTACAAGAGCTTTAGGTAAATTGGAAGATTAAAAAAAAAAAATTTCTGTTTATAATTGTGTCACAATTAAATTTTTTTTCAGGTGAAATGGCCCCGAAATATAAAACATTATTGATCAATGCTTTTTTATGTGGAACACGAGATTCTGATCCTCTTGTACGCTCATCGAGTCTCTCGTGCCTTGGAGAATTGTGTAAAGTTCTTGGTTTTAAAGTTGGAAATCTTATAACTGAGGTAATAATAATTTTTTAGTATTAAAAAATAATTGATTTCGCCTTAATTATATTAAAAAAAAAAATTTCTCAGATAATTAGCGATAAATTTCTATATTCTAGATTCTCTATTGTATTGGTTGCATAATAAAAACCGATAAGGATTATCAATGTAGAAGAGCAGGTGTTTTGGTAGCGACACTTTTACTACGAGGACTTGGAAAAGATATGCTGACAAGTTTAGGAAACGATCTTGTCATATTATATCGAGGACTGATACATTTGAGAGATAAAGACGATGATTCTGTATTGCGATTACACGCACAATTGGCACTTGAAGAATTTGATGATGTTGTGAAAAATGTTCTATTCGCTAAGCCAAAATTGGAAAAAACTATATTTTTGCTCAACGATTGATTCGTTTTCAATTTTACGAATATAAAAAAAGAAATTATATTTAAAAAAAAAAAGGTTTATAAACAATGATTTTAATTATTTTACACCATTTTTTTATATTTTTTTAAACAAAGCATAATCAAAATCATTTTGTTTTATATAATTTTAATAATATTAATATTTATTCACTGTATTAAATAAAATTTTAATTCTTAAAATAGCAATTTTTTACCAAGTAATAAAAAAACTCTTATAATTATATCAATATTATAACAAATGAATATTTTTCTTTGTAATGCGCATTTGAAAAATCGAATTTCATTTAAAAATATATATAAATTATCGACATAGAAATCTACATTACCGACTGATAGTAAAAAAGATTTTTTGAAAAATGAAAATATAAAAAATTACCGACCTAGGAATCTACCTTACCGACTGTTGGTAATTACCGACGGATGGTTAAACAGATTTTTGAAAAATGAAAATATAAAAAATTACCGACATAGGAATCTACCTTACCGACTGATGGTAAAAAAGATTTTTTAAAAAATGAAAATATAAAAATTACCGACCTAGGAATCTACCTTACCGACTGATGGTAAAACAGTTTTTTGAAAAATGAAAATATAAAAAATTACCGACCTAGGAATCTACCTTACCGACTGATGGTAAAACAGTTTTTTGAAAAATGAAAATATGAAAAATTACCGACCTAGGAATCTACCTTACCGACTGATGGTAAAACAGTTTTTTTGAAAAAATGAAAATATAAAAAATTACCGACCTAGGAATCTACCTTACCGACTGTTGGTAATTACCGACTGATGGTAAAACATTTTTTTTGAAAAATGAAAATATAAAAAATTACCGACCTAGGAATCTACCTTACCGACTGTTGGTAAGGTAGATTCCTATGTTGGTAATTTTTTATATTTTCATTTTTCAAAAATCTGTTTTACCATCAGTCGGTAAAGTAGATTCCTAGGTCGGTAATTTTTTATATTTTCATTTTTCAAAAAATCTGTTTTACCATCAGTCGGTAATTACCAACGGTCGGCAAGGTAGATTTCTGTGTCGGTAATTTTTTATATCTTCATTTTTCAAAAAAACTGTTTTACCATCAGTCGGTAAGGTAGATTCCTATGTTGGTAATTTTTTATATTTTCATTTTTCAAAAATCTGTTTTACCATCAGTCGGTAAAGTAGATTCCTAGGTCGGTAATTTTTTATATTTTTATTTTTCAAAAAATCTGTTTTACCATCAGTCGGTAATTACCAACGGTCGGCAAGGTAGATTTCTGTGTCGGTAATTTTTTATATTTTCATTTTTCAAAAAAAACTGTTTTACCATCAGTCGGTAAGGTAGATTCTTAGGTCGGTAATTTTTTATATTTTCATTTTTCAAAAAACTGTTTTACCATCAGTCGGTAAGGTAGATTCCTAGGTCGGTAATTTTTTATATTTTCATTTTTCAAAAAAATCTGTTTTACCATCAGTCGGTAATTACCAACGGTCGGTAAGGTAGATTTCTGTGTCGGTAATTTTTTATATTTTCATTTTTCAAAAAATCTGTTTTACCATCAGTCGGTAATTATCAACAGTCGGTAAGGTAGATTCTTAGGTCGGTAATTTTTTATATTTTCATTTTAAAAAAAAATTTTTTACCATCAGTCGGTAAGGTATATTTCGGTTGGTATTGTTTATATTCTTATATTTCAAAATTTTTTACAATCTTGTTAATTTTTTTAACCATCTACAGTGAAATCCACGTATATTAGATTTTAAGGGATCAGGAAAAAATCCCGATTTAAGCGGGAATCCGAATTATACGATTCTGATATACGTGGATTTCACTGTACTTACAATTTCTGGTGCTTTTTTTCTAGATAAAAAGAATAATATAAAATTGCTATGTAAATTAAAAGAACATCGTGTCCTCCGAAAATGCACCAGCTAATCGAATATTATTTTGTTCAAGGCAAACGTATAATCGCTGTGGTTGTGGAGTCGACAAGGGTGAAGGTCTAGGCGTGACTGCTCGCAAAATGAATTCCTTGCTCGAGGGTTCAGAGAAAGATCTATGTTTTCCATCTCCCGCCGCATCTACTTCTTCTGCATTTGATGCTGTATGAGAAACCTATATACAAAAAAAAAAAATATTCATCCCAATCATTTTAAATTTAAATTTTATTCACAGAAAACTAATTTTCAATTTGAATTTTCTGCAGACAATAATTTTAAATTTATTAAAATTATAATTTTTGTTTAAAATTATTAATAATAATAAAGATATATTTTTTTCTTATAAATTTTTTTTTTCTCATTAAAGTGAAATTTACTTTTGTTTTTGGTAAACACTGACCTTCTGTGCCTCGCAGAAAAGTTTTATTATCTCTGTGCCAATGTTTCCTCTCGAACCATTTGGTACAGAAACTTCTTTGCCTCTCATTAGTTGCATAACGAACGACGTGACTTCTTGCTTGTCGCAATTTTCGGCAAATTTACTTTGCAACGATTTCACCTGCTCAATCAATCCTTCTTCAACTTCTAATTCTCTAATGATGTCCTATAGAAAAAAAAAAGGAATGGCTTTAACAATTTTATATTTTTATTTCTCTTATATTTTTGGAGATTTCTTTTTTTTTACCTCGTAAAAATGCATTTTTTGATTAACCGGTTTACTCGCGAGTTGCAATTTATTTTGTATATTTTGCACGACATTTTGAATATTTGGTCGTGCCTCCACTTTTTGTTCGCTGAGAGTGACAAGTGCAGCATGAGTGAGAACCGGTAATAAAAGTTGTGCGACTTGACCAATACGCCTTGAATTTAAGTAAATAAGAGCTTTCTCTGCCTCTCGTGTATCATCAAACAATCGCTTTTGCCGATGAGCTGGAACAGGTTGCGCTGAACTCCAAGTTGTCGTCCAAGCATTATCCGGAAGTAACATTCGCTGGGAAAGATGTCCTAATAAAAAAAAAATTATATTTTTCACTATAGATACAAATAGATATGAATTAATTTATTATTAACCTTTTGGTTGACCCCATTCGTCTAAAGTATCCTCTTCCACCCAATCGCGAGGCGAATACCAACGAATAAAATCCTGTAACACTGCTCCTGGATTAGCAGCCTGAAAAATAATTTTTTTTTTATAATTTTAATTCCTTTTTCATCAGTTTTTTCTTTAATTCTACTTCTATTTCTTTTAAAAAAAAAAATTATTCTATGTTTTGAGAGTTTTTGCTGCTAAAATTTCATAAAAATTTTTAATTTTCCGTATCAGAACATAAAGAAGTTGCGGTATTTAAAAATTCAATTCCCGACAATTTTGTAATTTCAAATATAAAAAAATGCTAAAGCACATGTTAAAATAAAGAAAGAAAAATAAATAAAAGTCTAGATATTTTTTTCTCGTGAGTTTATAATATAGACATAACTTTGAAAAATGAAGCCAATTTTAACTACCGGTTATTTTCCTAACTAGAACTCTCTTTTATAATGTACGATAATTTATTTTGGAAAAATTAATAAATACTATACTTTAAATGATTCCATGTCAGAAAGTAAAGAGGCGCTCATTAATCTTGCGCGCATTTCTGTGCCTTGTTTATCTGTTCCTAATTCCATCATAACTTGTGCATCTTCCTCCAATTGATCTTCAGTTTTTAGAACTTGATCCTGAGTCACTGGCAGGTATAAGGGATCCCCAGTTTTAACTAATCGAAAACTCGGATGTTTTGCCGATCTTCCTACTGGTCTGTTCCATAAGAAATGCTTTTCTTTTTTGTTATTTTTTTGTTGTGTCTCGTCTTGTTCACCAGGAACTGGTTCTTCATTTGAACATTCGTAGAATTCATCCTCCTCTTCTGAATCTGAGCAAATAAAACAAAAAAAATTATTTTTATTAAAATTAAAAAAAAAGTAAACAAATAATTGATAGTTATTTTTTTTCATTCAGTGGAATTGGAAGTGAAAGTAAAGATGTAAAAACGGAAATTTTTTTTTTTTCATCTTCTATTGTCACTAGATTCACATGATCGTGTTGCGTAAATATTGTTTTGCTGAGAAAAATTAACACAAAACTTAATTACGTTTTTTGTAACGAGTATAATTTTTTTTAGAGAGAAATTTCTTTTTCCCGGTATAATCGTGTTGACCGCCAGTTAATTAACGATAATTGTCGACAAGAGAGTCGATTAATCAGAGTGCAAAATAAAAATGTAACTCTCCAACTCACTGAAATTTGCATCTTTCACAAAACTTTTTCATCAATTAATTCTCATAAATAAAAATTTTCTTTTTTAAAAAAAAAAAATGAAACTGTATGGAATCTTCATTTATCTCGAGTTATTTATAATTCAAGAAGATAAATATAAAAATTAATTGAAGAGATGCAACAAAATATAAAATTAAAAGAATTTGTTTTTAAGATATTTTTTTTTGATACCTGTTTCCATGTCTTTAAATTCGGCCTGAGAGACAGCTTCTTCTCTTGTTTTTCTTAAATGAATGCAATGATTTATCATCTGTAAATAAAAAAAGAAATTATCAATCGACGAATCGTTTTTTTTTTAAACAATTTTTTGTAGCATGTTTTCAAATAAAATTACCTGAAGTTTTTGATGAAGTAAACAGGTGTGCACGCAATCAGGAGTACCAGGCGTCAAACTGTAACAATAAAAATAAAATCAAGGAAATTAAAAAAAAAAGAAAATTTTGAATATTTTTTTTATCATCTTTTAAAAGAAAATAGAAAAATTTCGAAATTTTTCAAGGTAAAAAAATAATTTCTCACGTACAACAAAAAAAAAAAAATTCGCAGATTATAATTCAAAAATAGAAATGAGATATATAAGAGGAAAATCAAATGGAGATGAATTCATGAATATTTATATTACAATATTATCACCTTTTTCCCACAGTTGAGACTTTAAATCTCAACTAAACGAGTTGTTTACTATCTCGCAATGTAATTTTTAAATTGCGATTTATTTAAATACAGGCCAATATATGAAAGGGACATTATCTTATTTTCCATACGAAATTAACGATTGACAAGAAATACAAGATATTTCAACCAGTTTTCAAGTTTCGATAATAAATATTTTAATTATTTTAAAGACCATTTCCTTTTACCATTGAGAATTAATAGAAATTATTTCAGTCTCATTTGAAGCTAACTGATGAAAATATTTTTTTTAAAAATTACAAAATTTCATTAATTATTTTTTTCTTTAATTAGGGTAATCGGTACAATGATTGGCCCCCCTAAGAAAATTTTTATGTTTGACTTACTGTCGAATTCACACCATATGTCAAAAAAATATTTGAGAAACACTAATCGCCCATAAATTTATTCTATTTTAAATATTAGTAATTAGAAAAAAATAGGAAAATTTTAAATAACAGATATGTTAAGAAAATAATGCAAATGTCAGAAAATACATTTATTGGCCTTAAAAACATAGTGATTGGCAGTTGCCAATAATTGTATCATTGGCCTCTGTAAGTTTTTAAATACAATGATTGGCCACCTTTCCTATTAACATGAAGTTATTAGAATTATATTTAAAAAATTTTTAATTTATTATATCTTTTTATTTTTTATTAATAAAAATTATTTATTTAATATATAATATCTCTTTGTACTTTTTACAGTACTCTGAATCGTGCTTTGTCTTTGGCATTTTTTAAACACTAAATAAATAAATTAGCTAAATAAAATCACTTTTTTGCATTCACGCATGAGGTAAACGTTTTTGTGACAGCAGATAAATATAACCTGTACTTTTTTGAAAGCAACAGAGGCGACACTGGTGGCAAAATAAAATGTTGAATTTTCAGATAAGGCCTAAGCAGAATAGATTCTTGAACGGGAACGCAATCGTAAACGGAAACGTAAGAATGAGTAAGAGAAGGATAACAAATATCTTTATTCTTTTCTCACTCATTCTTACGTTTCCGTTCAAGGTTGCGTTCCCGTTCAAGAATCTATTCTGCTTTGGCCTTTATTGGCCCCTATCGTTGTACAATGATTGGCCGTGGGCAAAAATTGTAATTTAAGGTTATTTAACATTTTTACATAAACAGACTTATTAAAAACAAATATTTTAGTGTTGTAAAAAATGTTTGATAATATTTTACAATATTTTTGAAAACTACAGTCATTGGCCTCTTTAGCCACCATGGCCAATCATTGTATTTTCGTACAATTCAAAGAGGGTATTATTGGCCTCCCAATAAATTAAAAAAACGTTATATTTTTAAATAAAAAACTATTTTATCGTGTATTTGTAACCACTGCAAGTTTATATAAGAACAAATTTTCTTAAAAACATATTTTTACACTAAAAAATTTCTAATCTTTTATTAGGGTACACTACTGATCACCATAGTATTCTTTGCTGTCAAACTTTGTTTTCAGAACACGTAAATAAATAATTAAATTTAAATTAATAATGAAGGACCAGATAATCCCGACTGAAATGATCGCAGCGTAATTGTGTGAAGTTTATTAAGCATAAATTGAAAAATGATTTGATGTTAGTTCTTTCTTATTATATTTATATTTCATCAAGACGGCCAACCATTGTAGGGTGGCCAATCATTGTACCGATTACCCTATATTAGAAAAATATGTGAGAAAATTTTGTAATTTTTCGGAAAAAAAATAGTCAAAACTACTGTAAATAATAATAAACTCATTATAGAATGAAAAGTATGTAAATATGAAAATGAATATTCTTTTTAAATGGGGGGAATGAATCTTCCCACAAGCTTCTGTCTCATTCGTATAATAATAATTATTCTTATCTCACATATTTGTTCCCTTGGCCCTTTCTAATATGTAACTGCGCATGCTTATATATGATCAACTTGAACTCCTTGAAATGTTTTAAATTCTCATTTCCTCTACAAAAAAAAAAAATTTTTGCCTCACAGAGAAGTTGCGGCATTTCCCTTGTGTGGCGAATGTAAAAAAAAAAATTTATACACGAACTAATCAATTGAATTAATTACATCCTTTAAAAATTTCCACTTCACCGGAAAAAAAAAATAGTTAACAAAACTTTTTTTTCTAAATTCGTTTTTTAAAAATACTTTTTAAAAATACAATGAATGAAAATTAATAATATTTTTTAAAAAAATAGGAAATAAATTATAAATTATATTTTAATTAATAGAATAGAAAAAAAAAATTTAATTTAGAAAGAGAAAATAATATTAGAAACAAAAATTATTTTGCGAATTATACTACTTTGGGAGAAATTTAAAAAGAATGCTGCGGATAAAGGAAATGGATGTTGTGAAAAATTACAAGTTGGAGTTTTGCGAAAGCAAAGAAGAAAGTTCTTTAACGTTAATCTATGGAGCTAAAGACCCCTTTTTGCTCTATATAAACCAAGGGAAAAAATGTCTGAGAGTGAAATGAAAAAATTATATGAAAATTATCAATATCCGATTCTATTTTTTCAATTAACAATTTGTATTATTTTTTTTTATATATTTTTATATTTGCATTTTAATAACTTAAAAAAAAATTTCATTAATTTTTTTTTTATATAATTATTTTTATAAAGAGGGGAATTCCTCTTATTTTCATAAATGAGAATAATTGTAAATTGAAAAGTTTTATTATATCAATAATAAGTGATTTGTAATATTATAAAAGAGAAATTTGCTGATTTTCATAAACAATATTTTTCATCATTGACATATTATATTATGAAAGATATATATAATAATAATTTCGAAGAATTTGATGATAAGTTAAGTAATGATTAATAGGAAAAAAAAAAACTTTTTATCATTGGTCAATATCCCTGTATAAATTATATATTTTATTTGTAAATAATTTAATTTCAAGAAAAGACAATTAAGAGAATCCTCTTTTTTTTAATATAAAAATGTCTATAAAAATATTTTAGATAATTTTTAAAGTAATTTATACTAAACTCACAAATTATGTAGGCGTTTTTTTTTTTTTAAAAAAAAAGTATCATTATAATAGCCGTATTATTGTAAATGATGTAATGTCAGTTTTTTTTTATAGATACCATCGCAGAAAGGCAATTTAATAGTGAAAATATTTGAAAAGAAATCTATAATTTGATGAGTGTGATATAGTCATTGTTAAAATTTACATTCACATCTGCATCGTCTTCAAATTAAATTTTTTTTTTAATTCATAAAGGTCAAATTTAATCGCACTTGAGAAATAAAAAAAAAATTTCCTAATTTTTTAAAATTCTTTTTGTACTGTAATTATAAAAAATTTTACCAATTTTAAAATAATATTAATAAAAATTATTTGTAAAATTTAATTTTTTTATTACTTTCAGTTTTTTTATTAAAATTAATTTCATTTTCTTGATTAAAAAATAATTTTCTATTTACAAAATATATAAAGAAAATTGTTTTGTTAATGAGATTTTCTATAAATTATTTAATACAATATTGGCCTTTTTAATTTGATAAAAATTGTCTTTAATTCAAAAAAAAAAAAAAAAAAGAAACTTTAATGAATGAAATATTTTCAACGATTGAAAAATGAGGAATGACTTCGAATAAATTTTACTCAACGGAATTTTCTTTGATTGATAGAGAAATTTTTCAATATGAATGAAAGTTTGAGTGAATGAAATTTTTTTTCTTTCAAGTTAATATTATTCTTTTAAATTAGAAAAATATTGTTTTTTTTTTCTAAATTTTTGAAACTTAATATTAATTTTATAAAAAATAAAACTGAATTATTGAAAAAAAAAAAAATTTCTTATACAAATTTTTACATAATAAAATTTTCTAGCTACCGAATTTTTGTTTAGCAGAATTTTTATTTTATTGTCATTTAATTTACATGGAATTTTTATTTAACAGAATTTTCATGGTGTCTACTAAAAATCTGAATTAAAATTCCAGGAGGACTTTTTCAGGACTTTCCAGGACAAATTTCTTATTTTTCCAGGACATTAAATTGGATGACCTTAAGGAATAAAAAAATTTTTAGTTTAACTATATTGTTTTCAGAAATTATTAAAAAAAGTAATTAATCATGTAAATTTTCATTTTACTTATTTAATGAATTTTTTTTTAACTTGATTGACAAAAATTATAAATTTTTGAAAATTTAAAAGCAAAATATAAAAAAAATTCAAGGACAAAAATTAAAAATTCCAGGACTTTCAAGGACTTCCAGGACTAGTAGACACCCTGAATTTTAATTTAATCGAATTTTTAAATGACAAAAATTCCAATTCACCGAATTTTAATTTTATCCGAATTTTCATTTGTTCGCAAATTACAAATGACCGAAATTTTTCTATTGATTGTTTGTTTATGGTCATTTGTAATTTCGGATAAATAAAAATTCGGCGTCTTAAAAATTGTATCAATTAAAAATTCGGACAAATTGAAATTCGAATAAATTAAAATTCGGTGAATTGTAAATTTTGTCATTTGAAAAATTTCGAATCACATAAAATTCCATTGAATAAAAATTTTTATTTTATTGTCATTTAATTTAATCGAATTTTTAAATGACAAAAATTCTAATTCACCAAATTTTCATTTGTTCGCAAATTACAAATGACCGAAATTTTTCTGTTGATTGTTTGTTTATGGTCATTTGTAATTTCGGATAAATAAAAATTCGGCGTCTTAAAAATTTTATCAATTATAAAATGCGGATAAATTAAAATTTTTATTTGAAAAATTTCGAATCACATAAAATTCCATTGAATACAAATTTTGTTTTATTAAATTCGGTATCTAAAAATTTGTATAAAAAGAAAATCTATCAAATTTTTTAATTCGAAAATTGAAAATTCGTCCTAAAAAAAATAAATTCTAATAAAATAAAATTTCAAATAAAAATTCTTATTAATAATTTTGGGAAATTCATGCGTCTCTAAAATCAATGCATTTTTCTCATTAAAAAAAAAAAAAAGGAAATAAATTTTTTCATACAAAATGACCTAAATATTTAAATTGATTATATATTATATATATTGAGAATCCCATTTAAAATTCTTTATGTATTTCTCGATGCATTTCTCAATAATAATAATAATTTCATATGCTATGGTATTTTTGTTTCGTGTAAAACGGGAAATCTGAGGGAGTTTTAGGGCCTGATTGAAGTCAGTGCGTGCATGCATGCAACCTTATTGTATGAGTATACATAAACGCCGCACATTTCTCTAGAGTACCGTATATATATATATACAGGTAGAAATTATTATCGTTGCCTAACCAGAGCCCCAGAGAGAGAGAAAGAGAGAGAGAGAGAGAGAGAGAGAGAGACGCAACACTACTCTGACGAGAGAATCTTAAGGGGGTGGGGGAGTGGAAACTTGGTTTGGAATGGAGTGGAAGTACCGGCATGAGACAGGATTCCATGGGTTCGAAGCCAACCATGTCCGACAACTGGTTGCAGTCGAGCCTAAGATCGTGTTGCCGATGGCCACCGGGACCAACTGATTAGAAAAAAAAAATTAAATAAAAAAAAAAAAATTATTTTTAAAAATTAAAAAAAATTTCTGTTCAATTGAGATATAAAAAAATAATTTGTATCGAGTGACCAAAAGAGACCGCGCGACAACAGGTGGATCGTTTTACTCCGAGAGAACTGACACCAAAAGGAGTCGGGAAAAAAAAAAGAAAAAAAAAAAAAAACGAAAGGGGACTTACTTTGTTATACATATGGTGGTCAATTTTTTAACACGGAAGGTGTTTCCAAGGACAAATTTCCGAGTGAGGCGCCATGGATGATCAACGGTTGCCTTGAACTACGTCCAAGAAAACAATGAGTGAGTAGGATCATTGCTCCCAAGTTTCCGGACTCTTTGCCTCGCGTTTGCTAGTAAGAGCTCTCTTCGCGCGTCTTTTATTCGAACGGTGAATCGATCCTTGTCTCTCTATCTCTCTCTTCCTATTAAATAAAAAAAAAAAAAAATTTATATATTTTTATATTACAAAAAATTAATATTAAATGAATATCAAATACGATATTTTTTCCTCTTGACTATTTTTGTTAATTAATTAATAATAAAAAAAAAATTAGCAATGTTTCGAAAAAAATTTTTTAATAAGAAAACTCTTCCATATTTAAAAAAAATATTAATTAATTTTGAAAACTCGAAAAATAGTAAAAAAAAATATTTAATAATTTGCAAACGATTTATAAAATATATTTTTTTAATTTCTTCCCCTTTGGTGAATTATTATCAAACTAAGGGAACTTAGAAAACTCTCTTCCATATTTAAAAAAAAAAATATTAATTAATTTTGAAAACTCGAAAAATAGTAAAAAAAAAAATATTTGAAAAATTTGCAAACGATTTATAAAATATATTTTTTATTCCCCTTTGGTGAATTATTAATATAAAACTAAGGGAACTTAGAATAATTTTTTTCGTGCCCATAAATATATATATATATATATATATGAGTAGGAAAATTATCATTCATAATTGCAAATACACATACAATCTTATTCCTTTTACATATGCTATTTATTAATTTATGATAATCAACGTTTATAACTGTTCACTCTTGGACAGCTATACGCACTCTTAACAATAAACACGATAGTACCGTTTTTAAATTTGGTTTTAATAAGTATATATATATCATAAAAAAATGATAATTGAAAATGTAATCATGCAAAAATTAGCAAGAAAAATCTCCTCGTACATTACTTTCATTAATATAATAATTATAATAACAAGGAAAAGGATTATTAAATCATCTATGGAGGATCTGATTTTATTAATATAACTGCAACATTATATTATATTAGAATTTCAAATTCTGACTTATTATTATTTTTCAAATTGGTTAAAATCCCAACCACTACAATTGTATTACCATAAATATTTAATTCAAATAATTGGTTACTGGACTATTATCAAGTAAATATTTATTTGTATTATAATAACTATTTAATATTATTTATTTTATATTATTTGTTTTATATTATTTGTTTCAAATACAAAAATTATTTGTCCAAATACCAATTTATTCTATTTAAAATAAAAATTATTTGAATTCAATTATAAATTAAATAAATATTTATTGTACCAAATATATAATATTTACTTGAACCAAATAATTTTTATTTTAATTAAATAAACTGTATTTGAATAATTAATTTCTTTAAAACAAATATTTAACTGAATCAAATAAAAACTATTTGGTTCAAGTAAATATTTAATTTAATAATAATCAAGTAAACAATTATTTGAATCAAATATATATTTTTTTTAGTGTAAATTTGAATTAGTGAGAATTTGTTTACTAATTTAAATTAGTAAAAATTTCTACTAATTTTTAGTCATTTTTCACTAAAAATTTTAGTAAAAAAAAACAATATATAGAATAAAAATTATAAATATAAATAATGGTAATACTTTACCAAAAAAAAAAATTAGCAAAAAAATTTCTACTAAGAATTAGTAAACGAATTCTCCCGACTCTCTAAATCTGAATTAGTAAAAATGTTTACTAATTTTTGAATTAGTAACTCACTTTTTGCTTCTGAATTAGTAAAATTTTACTAATTATTAAGTAACTTTTACTAACAATTAGTAAAATTTTAGTTTAAGTTACTAATAATTAGTGAAATTTTACTAATTCAGAAGCAAAAAGTGAGTCACTAATTCAAAAATTAGTAAACATTTTTACTAATTCAGATTTAGAGAGTAATTCAAAAATTAGAGAGTGGAAAAAAATTTTAATTCCAAAAAAATATTGCTAAACTATAGAACAATACACGTGTTACCTGATAAATAAAATAAATAAATGATTCGCACTCCCGGGGGCAATAATAATACAGGTTCGATAGGATCTATCGGTTGGGATTCCTCAACAGCAATAAACACACTTTTTAAAACTCTCGCGAAATTCCATACTCGAAAAGAATTCACTCCACGCCCAATTCTCTAAATATATATATAAGAAATCCGCGCGATATACTTCAAATCGAGGAAAATTCATTTCTATTATTGCCACACATTGTTTATAAAAAAAAAGAAAAATTCATCTTTACCTCGCGCATAAAACAAACCGCGCTCGCAATTGATTTCAATTCAATGATCACAATCCTGTTTTATATAGCCGCAACGATACGTGATTTTCATGTTTTGCGGGTGTATGTGACAATCATTTTTGTGGTATTTATTCTTTTTATATAAATATATGTTTATAGATTTGAACCTTGGGTGTGGTGATAAGTGGAATTTTCTGTATATTTCCTTCATAACCGAATGTATTTACCTTCAAGTATATATTGTATATACTATGTGAATTATCTTAAAATATTCTGAATATATTTTTTTTTTTTCAATTATCTTCAACTATTTTCAAAGTATTTTTGAATTAATCTGAATTATCTTATATGTAAACTGTTTTATCTCAAGTATCTTAAAGTACTTTAAGATTATTTAAATAATTCAAAATACTTTTGATACTTGAGAGGGCATTCATAGTACTTCAAGGTACTTCGGATAATTCAAAATGCTTTAGATAATTTAAAATACTTTAAATACTTCAAGATAATTCAGAATATTTCTAGATAATCCAGGACATTCAAACAATTTCAAGTTACTTCAGATAATTACAAAATACTTCAGGATAATTTAGAATCTTTCTTCAAAGATATTTCAAGATAATTCAAAATTAGCTGAAGTACCTTGTAATACTGTGAATGATCTTAAAGTATTTAGAATTATCTCAAGTATCCTAACTTATCTTAAAGTATTCTGAATTATCTGAAGTACCCTAAAGAATATTTGGAATTTTTTTGATTTAACTGAAGTACCGTGAATTATCTTAAAGTATTTTGAATTATCTCAAGTATCCTGAAATACCTTCAAGTATTTTAAATTATCTGAAGTATCTTCAATGGCCTGAAGTATCCTAAAGTATACTTAGAATTATTTTGAATTATCTAAAGTATTCTGAAGTATCTTAAAAAATATTTGGAATTTTTTTTTGATTTATCTGAAGTATACTGTGAATTATCTTGAAGTATTTTAAATTATCTGAAGTATCCTCAATGGCCTGAAGTATTCTGAAGTATCCCAAAAGTATACTTAGAATTATTTTGAATTATCTGAAGTATTCTAAAGTATCCTAAAAAATATTTGGAATTTTTTTTTGATTTATCTGAAGTATACTGTGAATTATCTTGAAGTATTTTAAATTATCTGAAGTATTCTAAAGTACACTTAGAATTATTTTGAATTATCTGAAGTATCCTAAAGAATATTTGGAATTTTTTTGGTTTATCTGAAGTACCGTGAATTATCTTGAAGTATTTTGAATTATCTCAAGTATTCTGAAATACCTTCAAGTATTTTAAATTATCTGAAGTATCCTCAATGGCCTGAAGTATCCTAAAGTATAGTTAGAATTATTTTGAATTATCTGAAGTATCCTAAAAAATATTTGAAACATTTTTTTTATTTATCTGAAGTATACTGTGAATTATCTTGAAGTATTTTAAATTATCTGAAGTATCCTCAATGACCTGAAGTATTCTAAAGTATCCTAAAGTATATTTAAAATTATTTTGAATTATCTGAATTATTCTGAAGTATCCTAAAGAATATTTGGAATTTTTTTTGATTTATCTGAAGTATACTGTGAATTATCTTGAAGTATTTTAAATTATCTGAAGTATCCTGAATGGCCTGAAGTATTCTGAAGTTATAACTAAAGTATACTGAAAATTATTTTGAATTATCTAAAGTATTCTGAAGTATCCTAAAGAATATTTGGAATTTTTTTTTGATTTATCTGAAGTATACTGTGAATTATTTTGAAATATTTTGAAATATCAAGAATTATCTTGAAGTATTTAAAGTATCCTGAGTTATCTCAAGTATATATTGCGTATGAAGCAATAGTAGTATATGCGGGTTATTTTTTTTTGTCCAGAACTTTTTAAAAACTCACTACCAAAGATATATAATTGGATTGGTCCCCAGAGATCGCACTTAATTTTCTAAGCTTCCTTTTACCGAGTAGGCGCACCAATTAACTTTTCTTAAAAGACATCAATTGAATACGGAATCAAGTTTCTTTCCATGATTTCGAACTCGTTTCAAGAATTCTCAGGTTTCACGTATAAATGAAGTACATTTTAGGAGAAAATTCTAACTATAAATATATACGTCAATTATATATATATATAGGATTTTGTAAACCATATTGAAAAATATGTGATACACATTCAAAAAGAAACAATTTTTTTTTTTTAATTTTTTGTTTTTTTAAAATTCACTGATGGTTAATGCTCCTGTGTTTGTTAAGGTACAACTATAAATAGCTTTCTTCGTTGTTCTTTGTCGGCTGACCTTGAACCAAACTATAGTCAGAGCATAGTTGCATCGTTCGGTGAACATGGTACCTTCTTCCAAGCTAAGATCCTGAACGTATGTCGATTATTATATATATATTTTAAGAAAAATTCCTATACGAATTCGCTCCAATTAGTTTTAGAATTTATGTATATAGAAAGTCCTGTTATAGTCTTTTCTCTTCGCAAAGAGGCGTTAATTTTCATATATATATATTTATCTCTCAACTTAATATATCCATAAATATAAATTAATTCGCAATATTATATAATATTTCAGTATATATATATATATATATATATATATATATATATTTAATTACTTTTACGGTATATATGTTCGAATAATAGCATCAACTTTACTAATTTTTCAATACCCAAATCAAATTATAATAAACTTCATTAAGTTTCGAAATTTACAGAAAAATATTAGCAGAAATTTCCACT